GAAGAGAACAAACACCACTCAAACCTGGGCACTGCTCCCCTTTGAGGAGGGGTGTTGAGCAGACCAAGATGTTGATTCTGGATCAAAAAGATCATGCACACTCTCCTGACTTATTCCCAGTCTTGATAAGGTCACTCAAGTGATGTACAAAGTGGCTGTCCAGGCAGACGAAGGGAAAGCTTTTTGTGTAACTCCTCTCTCTTTCAGTATAATGCAATGCACAGGCTGGGACAGAATTTAATGAGCACAAATTGTATTGCAGAAAGCAAATTAAAATCTTTGCTCTTCCAACTAATCCTTAAAACAACAGCTCCAAAGCAGCTGACTGTTCTGCTGCACAACACTGAGGCATGAGTGTGGGAAGGGTTCCAGGTCACTGCACATAGAGCCCCACCAGCTACCTGGTGTTCAGCACCCAGTGCCTATCAGGGCATTAGAAATACTCACATAAACCAAAGCAGAAACACTTGAAATTCGTGATGTATTCAGTTTCTTTGGAGAAGGGGAATTGGTTGTCACTCCTTAACCTGCGCTGAGATGAAACCATGTGGATTATATACTTTTTAAATGAAGGACCTTAGTTAATTAGTTCCAGCATGTCGATCCTCCTGCCTGGTGGTAACGGGGACTCCAGAGATGGATGACAGCAGTCATTTGCCAGTGGGAAGGTCAGCTGCTCCAAAGAAAAATGTACTTTCTTCTCAAGAGAAGGCACTGAAATACTATTAAAATCCCACCTTAGAAAGCTACTGCAGAGTGAAATACGCTGATCCAGAAGAGCCAGTTTCCCTCCACTGACTGCAAAAGCACGTCAGATTTGTACCTTACATTTGATCATGGTGAAGCCCAAATCTTCACAGGAGAGCACCACCCCAAAGCACTCATCCTGTGCATGGAATCCTACTGGCACAAGCCTGCCTGTCATGTAAAGACACTTCTTTATGATCTTAAGCCATGTTTCAAAACAGACTCCTAATGCTGCCTTATCCCCCAACCCACAGAACTGAATCAGAATTCAAAAGGCTGGTTCAAAAATCCTCATTTGCCTACCACTCAGCTTGGATAGGCACCTCTATAGAAGGTCTTCTCCAACTCAGCACCAGTGCTGGAGGTGAGAGCAAGGTGGGCAGACTTCATCTGACAGCCCAGCACATTTGGCAGGGAAGTGTGAAAAGGATGAAAAGGGGAAAAATTTTGTCTGTGCCTGTTTGTGTCCATGGGAACAGTGGGTATAAGCAAGTCGTTTATCCTCCTCAAGCTTCCTGTGGCAACCAGCAACCAGAGTTTGGCAGATGACAACAAAATGAGCACGGGGCAGATCAGACTTCAGGGCACTGATACGTGCACAGCACAGTTCAGCACAGTCTGCAAAGCAATACCACATTCAGAAGGAATAAAAAAGCTGAAGAAATAGCTCATCAAGCTGAGAAAAGGAGTGGCAGACAAAACAAATGTCACTTTGCAAAGGCCATTTCTTATCCTGCCACCCCCACAAATGAGTTCCAAGACTGATGCAAGCAGTAGTAAGAATTTCTAAAGTGGGCAGCGGCTCTGGCCCTTGCAAAGATGGGTCAGAGAATGGAAATCTGAGATTGATGCAACCATTATATACTCAATACTCCCCAGGGTATTTGTGCAAACATTTTTTCCTTTCATATGTCCTCTTTTTTTGTCAGCAAAGAGGACTTCTTGTTTTCAGGATTAAGCGCAGTTCTTGTCGGATAGTTTTTCAGCAGGAAATGGAATTTTTAGTTGTGGTTGTTCAGTTCTATTTTTCCTTTAAAAGCGATTGTTTCCCAGATTAAATTTCAACTTTTCATCTAAAAAAAAAGTCCTTAAACCCATAGCATTTTAGTGGGTTTGGTCCAAATCCAGCTCAAATTCAGTATACTTTGAGTATTATCCTCTCTGAGTTGGGCTAACCTATTTCAAGCCACCTCTTCCCCAGTGTAAGGTGACTTTTAATGCAGGGAGACACCAAGGCACCCTGGGATCTGTGGCATGGCAGGGTTGTCTGACTCTAATGGAAAAGTGAGAAATCATAGCTTCAGCAGTATGCCTTTAACCACACCATAATTCCCAGGAGGCACCAACATGCTGTGCCACAAACCAGAGCTATCATTTGCAGCTGAAAATAGTCGTATTTTGATTTTTCACACCTACTGAGGTCCTCTGGGGGAAGATGATGCAGCCCCATGTAAGGACATGTGTCTCCTGTGTAATACAGTGAGTTGGTCCCGCTGGAGAGACCTTGTTTTAGGTCATTGGTGGTGGGGCAGAAGAGGGGAAGGAAACATATCTGCTCACTGTGGAGATCACCCCAGGTCAGCTGCAGGGGCTTAGAGAGGAAAATGGGCAGGAAGTGGATGTTAACTGAGGAGGCTGCAGCAAAGTGCCTCACACAATGAAGATGTGGCCACCAGCGAGCAGCTCACATGATGAGCCATTAGACTTGTCCCTGTTGCAAGGCTGGTCTTCCCATCCTCTCTGTACTCCTGCAAGTGTTCTGCTCTCACAGTGAAAACCTTTGTCATCCATTTGGGATTTCCGTCTAGATCATCACTGAAATCCCAGTGTCCCAAGGGTAAAAGGCTGCACACCACTCACTGCTCCTCAGAGACTGCTCACACACCCTGCCAAGTCAAAATGAGGAACACCAGGATTATTTCTGGCTCAAGGTCTTACACTTGGCAGCAGAAAATTTCACCTTTCCACTGCTAGATTTCATTTCCTGTGCCAAGCCTGTGACAGATGCCATGTCAAACCTCTAAATTCTCCTTTGGGAATTTTCCTTTAAAAAAAAAAGAAAAAAAAAAGAAAAAAAGAAGTCATTTCTAGGAGGTAGGAAGCTACAGACTGCTGTCTGGTTTGCTGTGTGTATATTTTTGAAACAGAATGAAAAATGTTCTGGATGGATACAGAGTAACAATATGTAAGCCTGAGGCATCAGATGGTTAGAAAGCTGTATTCTGTGTGTGTGCACAGATGTAATTCACTGCAAGGAATATGTGACACCACACAGCAGTTCAAAGTAGCAAGCTGGTACTAATTACTATGCTCTTAATGACTTCATCCATCAAACCATAACATGTTCTATGATTATACAATGCAGCCATATGACAACCAAATGTCCAGCCACTCGTTTCTATGAGATGGTTACGCAGCAAAATTCTCTGTTGATTGCAAGCAGAAAACTTAAAAAAAAAGTGCACTTTAAGTCATCTGAGCCCTCAGAATTGTTTTATTATACCCTTTTGTAAGGGGAAAAAAGGTAAAGAAAACTTTGAGGGTTTGTGAAGAGAGAGGTTGAACACAGATAAGCCAGAGAGGCTCTTGTGGGGTTTGCCATTTTTCATGCAGGTCTGGAATGTCCACAGCCTGTGACTTGGGCCACTTAAGGACACAAAGTGAACATATTTTGGCCTAAAAGAGTTGTGCTCCCCTACAAGGAGAGCTCAGTGTTGTGAGTAGCACCACGCTGCAGCCCGGACAGCTGTCCCACTGGCCAGCTTTGGCCTCAGCATCTTCAGAGGGCACAGTAGTGAAGATGAAGTTTGTCTATGACAGATTCTGACATTTCCCACAGCTGTGTCAGGGCTTTCCCAGGGTCTGGGCACCATCACTGTTCACACCACCTCCACCTGCATGAATACATCCCATGTCTTGACTTTTTCCCTCTATAATGTGATCACACTTAGCACATCTACCATCAACAGCCACCCCCATCCCCAGCAGAGCAACACAGTCCAGTGCACACACTTCTCCCTTGGGCAGAGGGCGTGAGATTAAACTCTGCAACAGATCCTGTTCTCACTGCTGCCTGAACCATGAAAAGGTGCTCTGGTGCTAGAGCAGAGGAAAGCAGGGCTTGGTCCCCAGTTTTCTGCAGTCTTTTCTTCATTCCCTCATGAGATCCAGTCCTTTTATCACTTCTACCCACACAGTAACACCCTGCTCGGTAGTGCAGCATAGATGGAGGTAAGTATACTTCATCCACTCATTATTTGTACAATGCTGACTTCACCCATTTCCTGTACACATCAAGAAAGCGAATTTCCCACAATTTCGTTTGCTATTTCACCACTGTTTTTCTTCCAGAATTGCTGTGGAGTGTGTTATACACTAACATAAGCAATAAAACTACAGATAATATGGAATTTATCCAGATGAATAACTTATTTCCAAGTTAATAAACTGTGAAGTTAACATTGCACAGATATCCTGTAACAGACACCTGCAAGCCCTGGAGTTGAGTGCTGGCTGGTTGGCTGATGGAGGCTGTGATGGGTCTGGATGCACTGAGCTCTCCTGTCCTCTATCCATCCCAACAAAGTGGAAGGTTTGTTCCCACTTTTCAAGCCTAAACCTGCATGTCAGATCCAGAGGGCTAATCTCCCTAGAGCTCCTCTGTAAAGCTGAATGAGGGAACACTGAATAGGTGAGCCAGCTACCTCTCCTATGCAGCACTAAGCCGTGGACTACATGTGATCATTTGCAAGATGTAGTGGCACAGGGATGTAAAGCATCATATTTATTAAATAGCAGGGGAAAAGAACAGGTTTAGGGAAAAAAGTGGTCAGGAGAAGACCAGACTGCATCAGATTGGTTCTTATATCCCAGCTCAACAGAAAATTACTGAATTTCAGTGACCAGGTTTTGTCCCTAATTTGGGAGACTCAGCTTCTGGGAAGGGCATGACACAGGCCAGTCAGGCAAGCTGAACATTTATTCTCCAAGAAGCATTAAAAAATGCAGCTGTCTTGCAAGATACTCTAGTCTTCAGCATAATTTATACCACATATCATCAGGGTCACAGGCAAAACACTAGTTCAACAAATTTTATCAATCAGTTGCTTACTTTTCCAATCCATGGGTTTTTACACAGATATTGATGGCTTTTCAGCAACTTCACCCAGACATCTGCACTCCTGATTCGGAGATGCAAGTTCCTCATCACACAGAAACAATCAAATGGCTGTATCGGTATAAAACAGAGACTATTCCAGGAAATCGCTTTATTCCAGGAAAAACAGTTTGTCCTAAAAATGGACAAAATGTACAGTGCTTGTTCCTGTTAGAGTTTCCTAAATCTTCAGAGTATTTCACAATTTAATTGTTGGCATAAAACTTGTCCTTCATAAATCTGGAAACAAAAATTTTAAGTGCCTTTATTCTAGAAGTAGATAGTGGGAATGCTTACCTCTATAGGGCTTTCTTGCAAGATTAATATAACTGCTGAGAAAGAGCTACATAAAAGAATTCTACTAAATCAGTTTTTACACTTTTGCTAAGTGTGACAAGGCCCAATACTCATCTTGGTGGCACTTCTGCACTGATGTATGACACAAGACCTTCAGAGTGTTGTCACTGTGCTTTCCTTCCCTATCTCCACATGTCTTCTGGCAGCATTAACTGCAGAGCCTCTTGGAGCTCATTGACCACAGACACCATACCCTGCTTCACTGTCACCTCTCCTGGCTGTCTGGAGCTTCAGCAGGATGGGTGCATATCCCAGGCCTCCTCACCTCCTTTTGACTGCCAGGTATTTTCTGTGGCTGTGGAGCACAGAGGCTGTTGGAGCTCTGTTACCAGAAGGGTCTTGTAGCACCTTGGGTTTGTCTACAGAGTCTAAGGCACAGTTTGCTTATGGCTCTTCTGGTTAAAATATGTGGGGCAGCACAGGCATCTCATGGAACTGTTGAAAAGATCTGGTAATGACATAACATCTCAAAAAATTTCCTTCTTTTTTGCCCATTTATTTTGCCCCCACCCTAAGGCATGCCCTACACAGAACAGGGCACTTCTTGAGCCCCATCATTTGCTGTCTATCAAGTGGCCATTTATTGCCACACGTCAATGTCTGCCTTTAGCAACTTCTCACTTCTGTACCCACAGATCTTCCTGATGCAGGGTTTTGTCAGAAGTTGGGATGACTGAAGTCAGCGCATCTCTCCTCCTACGTACTGTCCTGTTGATGTGACAGAGGAGATCAATACACACAATCTCAGGAAGAACTGTTTGCACCTAAAGGAGTCAGCATGGTTAACCACAGTGACCTGTTTCTGCACAGGAACAAAGAGCTGCCGTCTCACACCAGGCCACCAGCCAGCCCAGCCAGGTGACACACTGCCATCCCAGACAGTGCAGTCCAGGTGGTGCTGGCTCTGAAAGGAAGGAGAGAAGTTGCACTTGTAGTATATGGAGGCCACTGGCACCTGAGGAGACATTGCCAGGCACCACCAGCTTCGTTCTGGCTAAATGCAAGTCTGAAGCCTCTGAGAAGACTGCATCACTTGCTGTTCTCTCACATGAGAATTTCACACTTGCATTGGATTTTTTCCAGGCTTATCCTGCACCTTGACTCTTTTTGCATTCTGTGCCTGAGCAGTAGCCAGCAGAACCGGGGAAGATTGCCTTAATACTTGGGTCTCTTCTGCCTGTGCCAACTCACTAGAGCTATGTGCTCCCTCTGATGGTTTGCACCAGGCCAGCACAGCCAGGGGTTCACTGCAATGTGGTTTTTGACACGAAAAGAGATGGTTAAGGTCAAGGTCTCCATTAGTCAGTGGTTTATATTTCATATCATGCCATGGGGTTGGTTTTTACACTCCCTAAGGCCTTGTACACTGTTGAAAATTATAATCCACTGCTACCTCTTTAGCTGACCTTGGTAATAGGCTGGGCACAAATTACATTCTGCACCTCCCTAAACATAGCCTGTGTCGCTCAAAGCCTTGCAGGTTGTTCACCTCCCCCAGAATTTTCCTCTTCTCTCTGCCAATTGCTCATCTATGTCCTGCCTTTACCTCAACCAGCGCTCTCTGGGCTCATTTACATCTACTCTTGTTTTCTAAGGAACAGATGAACAAAAAGAGGAAAGTGTTCATAGAAGGTCCCTCTTGCTAAATATTCTTTATTACTCCCATTCAAAAAAAAAACAATTTACCCTTGGAGCTTTTTCACAGCTTGCTTTGGTGGTGTTTGGGCTCGTTTATTTCATAAATCATTCATCCAAGGTAGAAAGTCCCTCTGTCTACAAAGAAAGCAGCAGACGGTCCTCCTGAGACTGCTGGCCTCCACTGCAGCTTTTTATCTGAAAAAAAAAAAGGAGGAAAATAATTTCAAAGAAGTGACCGCTGCTGGGAAAGCACCAAGATAAAAATGGAGGACCAAGGACAACTAGAAAGAATTACCTCACCCTGCATCCTGCATGTGTCATCACCCTCCACACCTTACCTCTTGTTACTCCACACCAACCCTTTCCTCTTGCTCCCAGCACCAGTGACTGCCTGCATTCTGCTGGCATAGAACCCACTTGCACTTAACCTTTTTGTATCTTTCCTAAATTAACCAACAAGGCTTCCCTCTAAGAGCCCACGAGGACACACAGTGTTAAGGACATTTCTCAGTTCCCAATGTCTTCCCAAGGCACCCACAAACACATTTTGCCCAGGTTCATAGCAAGTAAGTGGTCAGCAAAGTACAGACATTGTGAAGTAAGCTGAAAACTGATGAACTGGACCAGGAGAGTGAAAGATGACTCATTAGTCAAACTGGATATAGCTCTCTTTGCTTTTCAAAAAAAGAGATTAGTGGGAGTGCTCTCAACACTTTCAGTCAGTCTTAAAGAAAGGCATCATGATATTACATCAGCCACATGTTTACTTTATTTTCTTTATCCCTACCCAAAGAATAGTTAATCACACATGAGAAGACAGTGTCAGAGAGAAATCATCTTCTATAAAAAGCCTGTTTCATAATAGGTGACTGAATTATCTTTCCTGCCTTTGGGAGATGATGAAAAGGAGACTCATCACCAGCCACACTGTCTCCAGCATGGCAGGTCAATGTACAGGCGGTATTTCACTCCACTTAGGAGAAAATTCATATTTGTCTCTAATACAGAAAGACATGAAAGAATTTTGGAGGAAGTTCATGGAATGCCAGGCGATGATATAATGGCCCCAAGGGAGGGGCACTTTTAAGACTAAAAAGTGTAGACCCCAAGAATCAGAAAACATTTAGCAATCTGCCTTGCTCCTACACCTTGGAAGTTCTTGTTCTTGGTCCACAGGCCATTCCTTCTTTCCTTGCCTTCATACCACAGTGGCTTCTCCTCTCTGTCCTCTCCCATGAGGACACAAAGCCCCATCGGACTGCTCAAGACTAGAAGGAAGTATGTGATCTGTAACTAGTGCTCCCTGTTTTCCAGAGTTCAAAGGGCATTTTAAGGACCTTGGTGGGTGTCTTTCACTTTAGAAATGGTTCCTTTCAGAGTAATTCAAACAGGAAATTGTATCATCCAATGGACTTGGACCGGAGGCTAAGAATCAGCAGACCTGAACTCCACAATTAGTTTACTAATTACCAAGTATCAACTTTGGAGCCCAATTTCTTTGTCTAAAAACTGTAACTGGTGACTTTATGTGGTCAAAATGCTTTCAGTGCTGTAAATAAAAGGTGACATCAGGGAAGTATTTGCTGTTCTTACATTCAAATCCATTTCCCCTTGTCCCCTCCCCCCTGACATTTCTTTCAAATTAACACATTTTCTAAGCTTCATTGAGTAACACTTTGGAGTGGATTAGTAGGGAATTTGACAAGAAGAAAGCAGAGAACCTACTGCCATAAAACACAGCAGGAGAACAGAGGGTATGTGCCCTTTTTGGTTTTTTCTTCCTGACTCAGTTTTAGTTTATGTGTTAGTCTTATGGAAAAATGTGGGGTGGTGGGCAGGGGATTTAAGGAGACAAAAAAGTCATCACAAAATAACAATACTCCTGAACAAGAATAGCGCGGTGGTATTTATTTAATTGAAGCTGTAGGCAAATGCAGATTCAGAAGAAACAGGAACCACAGAGACTTGATTTGGCTTTGAAAATTTTAAAACCCTTGCTGGAAAATAAGTTTCAGGGCTGGGTTGAGTTGTTTTTTATTTTTTCATTTGGAGTTTTTCTTTTTGACATTAATTTGGTCTCACAATCAGTGAGATGATAAAAATTATTGCTGAAGGATCTCAGTTTGGGCTTCTTGGGTTTTATGTGCATAATGCCTAAATGAGGAGCTGTGTGCTGTGACGAATGCCTCGTGCATGCCAGCTGACTTAGAAAAGGTGACTTGGAATTTTTCAAGTTCAGTATTTTTATTCTTTTTACAGTTCTCTGTTCTTATCTCCTCCCCCTCAGTGTATTTCCTGTTTCCTCATCCTGTAATAGTTATGTACATTCAAATGGGGGATCAAACACCTTTTGAGTTGTTGTTGTCAAGTTTCATTAACATTTCTCACATCGTTTCCTGTTTTGATACTGATACCCCAGCAAAGTCTGCATGAGTGGGCAATGTGGCTGATCAATACCTCCCCTGAACTGCTGGCAGATCATTCTCTTCATAGAGCACCATCCATTCCTAAACCTATTAAAATACTGGTGGCTGCAGCCATAAACTTAGAAGACATTGAAGGAAGTATGTCCCCCACCAACAGAATTCAGCCAGCTTTGAGAGAGGTGCAATAAACTTTAAATATATAAATATAGCAAGAGTGAACATGGACCTAGGCCAGGCAGTAGCAAAGGAAGTTGCATGTGCCAAAATACAGGGGACATGTATGTTGGTAGAAGGATGTTTCTCATCCTGATGTAGGCATTATGCATCCCTAAAAAAAAAAGAAAAGTCAAAAAAAAGACAAAAAAAAAGTGATTTTGTTTGTGTAGGCTGGAGCACCTCAATACCAAGTCCCACTTCTTAGGCTACACTTCCAGTGGTGCTGTGTCCCAAAGAGCACTGGAGACAGGCACTAATAAATTTAACAGAAGAAATAAAGTTTCCACTGACTTCAAAGCCACAACTGCAGGAACAAGCCTATTGCTTACAAGCATCAAGGTCTACTAGCACAATACTTAGCATGCAAGATGCCCCAGTCTATGAGTATGCAATGCCATAGTAAAACTGATTGACTAAATCAGCATCAAACAGTGACTTTATGGAGGTTTTTACATTGCTCTCCCATATAATCCCCCTGCAAAATACAGTAATACTTTTCTACAGAAATAAAAAATATGTGTGTCAGTAGGAAGAAACAAATCTAGTGTTCTTTGTAAGCCAGCAATATTAAAAGCAGCGGACACATCAAGGCACATTCAGAATATGTCAGACAGTGACTGAAAGCAGTAGGGAAAAAAGCCTGTGTTCTCCCACATCAAGCTTAACAGGGTTTGAGGGAGGGGAGTGGAACTTTAAATGGTTTGAGGATTAAAAAGAAGCCAAATCACAAGAGAAAGCCTTTTCAGATGCAGTATATTTGTGTTTCTAACCAAAAGTCTTTGTTTAAAAAAAAAAGGAACAGAGAAGTGTGTTTTTCACAATTTTCTCTTTGGTGTTTTGCTAAGTCTGTTACTTCACAGGATGTTCTATTGTCTCCACTGCCACCATGCACAGAAATACCCTGCAAGGCACTGTGGGCTCTGATACAGTGTCTGGGTACATGAAAGAAATGTTTTGCTTTTAATACCGACAGACTGAAAATCAATATTTCAGAGCTTTGACAGACACACCTGGCAGGCAACCTTCCCAGTTCAATGAGATTTAAATGTTAAGGAGAAAAGCCAGTAAGTCCACTGCATCCAGCTGCAGGTTGGTGTTTGTCAGACTCCTGAAATCTGCTTCCTAAAGAAATCCCAAGATTTAACTGTAATTGTGCTCTTTTTTGGTGCTTTCTACAAACCTAGGGGGTGAAAAGAGGCTCACTGACTTTTCAAGCTTTTATGTACCCTGTGGAGCCAATCTATTTTTCACAAAATATTCACAGCCAGGGTTACTGTGTAGCTTCTAGGACTACAAGAAAAAGCAGCAAAATTTTTCTGAAAAAGTTGTCAGCACACTCCTGGCATTCCACCAAGATCTGCAGCAATCATGTCTTTGCTCCAGTAACCTGAAATGAGGGCCCAGCACCAGAGAGAGGGAAGCCCAGACCCTGTACTATGGAATTAAAAATCCCTTTTTTCTCCATAACTGAATAGGATTTCCCCATTCTCCAAGAAGCAAGATCCTGAAGCAGTGGTAGGCAGGAATGGGGAAAAGTTGATGTCCAAAGATGTGGGACTACACTGCAAGAGAAGGAGCAGACTTAGGGTGACTTACCTTCACTGAGACCTTTGTCCACCATCTGTCTGCGTATCTAAAGCAAAGGGCAGCTTCGGTCAAAGTGGGCATTTTCATCTGGGTGGCTTTGGGAAAATAATAGCAGCAAACTCTGTTCACATAAAGCTTCCTCTGGAACCAACCAAGAGGTCCTTGTGAAGAATAGCTTCAACAGCCCCTTGAAGATCCAAATCTTACCTCCATGGTCATGTCCTTCCCCCTACCGACTGGTCCATGTGTTGGCGGGGATGAATCCTGCCCAGAGCTTTCCCAGGGTGCAGGACCCTGAAAGAGCCAGGCTGGGCAGCCCAAGAAAAAGTTCAGGAACTCCTAGTCTTCTTGGAGACACCCGGATGCAGATGAGATGGGTGGGGGGCTTCTGGAAATCCCATACCTGATAGCTAGCTCAGACCTCTGTACTAACAGCAGAGTCACCATACCTCAGTTTCACTACGGAAAGGAGCCAGCCTGTCTGGAAGAGAAAATTCTGGAGAAGACCATCTGTCACCACCTAGATCCATCCATTATCATCATGCAAATGTGCTTCTCCTCATACAAACCCATCCTGGGGCACACTCTCTCACAAGCATCCCCACCAGTCCACTGACCCAAATTTCCACACCATGCCTCCAAGTATTAAAGCTTTCTTAGCTTGTGGCAGGTCTTTTTCCAGAAGCCACCTGGCCCAACATGTTCCTGCAGCCATACAGCCATCCTTCACCTGCAGCAGACCCTATGGCAGAGTTGGCTGTGCAAATCTCTCCCTCCCCAGCATTTGAACCCAGTGTAGGTTTTGCCTCAGCTTTCAAAGCCTGTGATGCTCAGCAGATGACTGGTGGTGTGTGTCCCAGAAGAGCTGTTGGACTTGTCTGCTTGCCCTTCTCCCTGGCCATGTCCATGTACACTAAAGCACAGTCCAGTCTGGAACACTGAAGGTGCAACAAATCTCCCAAAGAGAAGTGAAGTGAGCCAAAGTGCGAAAACAAGAGCTCTGTGTGAGTGTGGTTGCACCCAGCTTTGAGGCAGTTAAGTTTGGCAACGGGGGGTTAAAGGTATGGGAGGAGGTTAGTCCGTGTCATAAAATGTCAGTAAGCTTTTTATACAACCACCAGAAAAAGTCTTTTTGGGTTTTGTAACACCTACAGAGTCTTATACAGTGTCTTTTAGATGCCCCAAAAATTCCCCTAAGCACTTTTATCATTCAGCATCACTCCAGAGTTTAGTCAGCCAAACCATACCCTTTCCCAGTGTTAGATAAATTGCATCTTGAAAACAGCACAGACACTAATATCACATCGTCCTAGAGCTGAGCCACATGTGAAATCTCTATCCTGTTTTTCTACAGAGATGAGTAAGATTTTCCTGTGTAATTAATATATAATATCTTTCTGTGCATTTGTGTAAATATATAGAGCAAAGATACCACTGCAAAGATAACGATTTGCCAGAGCGCTTTTTGCATTCTTTCAAATGTGGTTGTTTTACTTGCAGTTTACAGCATTTTAGTCATGTTTTGACATTTGAAGAATTTTCACCGAAAACAGACCTTATACCAATAACAGAACGAGACATAAAACTCGTAGTAATAAAGAGCAGCAGCAAACAACAGATGCACTTTTTATTGTATGTCTTTAGTATGTATTAATGGAATAGAGTATTTTAGTTAAATTGTAATATTTCTAGTGCTGAATTAATGAGGCTAAAATATTTTGTTTAAGTAACTTACACATATTTAACAGTGATAGTAATTACCATTGTTACATATTTTTGGACAGATTTTGCCATTTTTAGACCTATCATCTAGGTGATAAGACATCTGCTTCTCTAAATTCCTCATATAGTGAAGAAGGCTGCAAATCCTCTAAGAACACCAAGATAAAAATAATTTACAAAAGCAAAAGGAAACAAAGTCCTGATTGAAAGAAACCCATTACTGTCAGAACTGCAAAGAATTTGGAATTTTGCCAGTTTGGGATTCAATCCTTATTTAATAATTCAGCAATTATTTTAAAATTATCAAGCAGATCAAAATATTCAATCTATCAAGGGTTTTTACAGAATAAGAGTTCCTTCACAATAAGCTATGGGGACTTACGAAGCAGCATGTTGTTGAGAAAAAAACAGGAAAAAAATCATGAGTCACTGATTTGTGAGAAACAAACAGAGAGCATGGAAAGACCAGACCATGCCTAAAATATAGACAACCTACACTTGGGTTCAGACAGGAGGTGTTTTTTCAAATGCATTAATTTTAGTGAGAGACTTTTCATGTTACTTTTCCTTGGACTCTCCCAGAAATGTGGTGCTTCTGAACTTTCTCAGGGTTAGGAGTGGTTTTTATGCACCATCTGAAGCACTGGAGCAGGGAAGGTGACAAGGTGACAGGGAGGTTGTTGGCTGCTTGACATGACCAAGCCATGCTCACACAGAAAAATGTTAACTCGGCTCCACTACTTTGAACACATCTAGCACAGGCCTTCCTCCTCTTCCTTCCCCCTTTTAGCTGCCCTTGTGCCTCCCAGCTTGAAGTTTTCATATTCAAAACAAGGCTGGTTGCAGTCGCAGCTGCATCTGCAGTAACCGTGACACCTGCTCCCAGCAGTGCCAGCCCTTTGCCTTCTGTCCTTTGGGTGGCCTTCTGCAGAGCTGTACAGCTCCAGTTTGTATTTATCACCATTTACTAACTGTAGGGCACATTAAGGTGGCACAGTTTACTCAGCACAGCTTTCTGCTTTGCTCTAAAATCTGAGCAACTACAGCAAGGGAAACGGTTCAGCAACGTACCATTGCCTTGATTCTTACCCTCTGCTCCCATCTCTTTAGGATTCTTTTAATTTCTGAGCAGACTCAGGCACAAAACTGCCTCTGTGCCCTATGGCTGCAACCCATGTGGGCCAGAAGGTCACCACGTCCCATGGCATGCTGCGGCTGGCAACGCCCCACCAAGGGCATGTCCAGGCATGAAGTCTGACCACATAGGCCAGAGGAGTATGAGGTGGAAGGGAAAAGGGAAAGGGCATTTCCCAGGAAAGGCTAGGCAGTTTGACTTTTTGCCAGCCTTGCTTTGAATAATTAGCAATGCTCAGGAATGCAGGCTGTGCCGTTCGTAGGGCGTTGTCTGGTTACACACTCTGAGGTTGCCTCCACGTCTGCCAGCAGCATCCAAGACCCCAGTGCTCAGCGCTGCTCTCTCACACACAGCGTGGGGCTGCGGCCCCTCTGTGAGGCCAGAGCCGGCCCCAGAGCTGGGCACAAGTGCAGAGCTCCCCACGCAGAGCAGCCAGCAGGGAGTAGGCAGGCATATGGAGCACCCACTACCTTCACGGCACTGGCACCTGTTGTCTCATCTGACTAACTTTGCCTGTGCAGAAAGGTCAAATGCAGAGGCTAAAGCAAAAAAAAAAAAAAAAAAAAACATAATTTATTTCAGAAACACATTTCTAAATGTTTCCTATTCTCCTCACCCACTTCAGCAGAGCCCCATCTTCAGAACACGGGTATGAGAGAGGTCCCATTCAGTGGGACCTGCTGCAAGCAGAGGCACAACACAAATGTCTTCTCAATGAACAGCATCTGCCCTACTTGCACCACACTGTCACACAGTCAGAAGTTTCTGTGTCATACAGAAACTAGGTTAAATGAAAAGGGTGTAGCTCTGTGAACCTTGATTTCAGCATTGTTTTTCACCGTCTGGGTCAGGAGCTGAAGGTTTTTATCCATTCTTGTACAGATAGGAGTAGATCCATAGGAGGTTTGCCTGAATAAGAGCTAAGGCAGGAAATAGGGATTTGAGCCGGCTGCTGTGAGGGGAAGAAGACACCATCCTGAAAAATAAGCTTCATCAGCCTCCAAGTGCTACTGTGTGTGCATGTTTTATTGTGTTTTTAGCTGCCCCATTGAACCCAGCCTTCCCAAAGGATGTATTGGAATGTCAAGCTGTGAAGCTGACGAGTCCCCATCTTTCCAACTACTCCAAGTCTCCCTGTCAAAATAATAAATACATGAAATTATAAACAAGTTAGTACATTGTGCTGGGATCAGGCAATTCCCCTGCCGGTATGGACACACTCCCCATCCCATGTCCCCAAATTCTCACCTGTTGTCTCTGCCCAGGGACAGGGATCACCTTTCCAAAACCACTATTCGCAACCTCTGCAGACAAGACACATATTGACATTTAAAAATACTGTTGTATTAGAAGATGTGCGAGACCCATGAGCAACCTGAAGCACAACTCTGGGCAGGTTACTCATTACTAACTCCTACATGGGCCACGTCTTACTCTGCAAACATGGGGCAGGGGCCCAGGCTGTGCATTCACAAGCAGTTCAGCTCAGCGAGACTGAGAAAGTCCGCTTTATTCCTCGTGGCAACAAATCAGTATACAGCTTTCTCAGGTGATGTCATTCCTCCCATGCTTTCAGCAATTGCCATTTACACCGGGGGAGAAGGAAAAGGGTGCTCATACAGTCCTGGGCTTGTCTTTAAAGGGACTATTGACCTTAAAAGGTGATTTAAAGTTTAGCTAAACAAAATTTCATCTATAAGACATCAGGACATACTCTCCCAATGAACTTTCAGGTGGTGGACATGAGTCGGGTCAGTAAGTTAGTTTACATTATCTGTAAATTCGGGTTTTATTACAGTTAAGGTATTTAAATGCTGCTTGTTCATATTGAGTTCCAATGACATTGTGCTGCAGTACTTGTTTTTTCCATATGCATCCATAATGTGACTATCAGCACCAATTGGGGTTTTCATGGCCTGGATTACAGCTTGTCTTTACTTTCCTGCTCCAATCTGTGCTCACTAGTACTGACTACTGAAAAATAAGCCCATTAACAGATTCAGAACATCCTCTCATCTCTGTACCTTCTTTTCCTTCCTGGAAACCTCCTACCAAAGTGCTGCTTAAATACATCTAGAGAGCAAGAGGAAATCAACATCATACAATTGTGTTTTAAGCCCAAACACCAACCAAAAAGATTCTACAATATTAAAAATTATGTTTACAATGTGATAACAGCATTTTCTCACTGTGAATGGTACTAGCAATCATAAAAGCAGACACCTTAGGCCAGGTCTATTGAGCACAGCTTAAGGTATTGGTCCTGGGGGAGCACGAGTACTCCCGTGCTCAGCGGAGGAGCTCTGGTGTAACATATCCACTGACCTGCACTTGAACCTACCACTTGCTGTTTTTCTCTTATAATCTAAATCTGGAAATGTGCTGTCTGGTCAGTAGCGTACTACCAAATCATTCAGCGAAATGCTCTGGATGCCATAAAAGCGTGCCTGTGCTTGCAGCACCATAGCAAACAAACTTGTAAAATAGAGCCCGAGCACAGCTCACAACCACTGGCATCGCAGCCGGCACATGTGCTGCTGTGAGGCACCTTTGTAATGCAGCCAGGCAGCAGCTGTGTGCATTGCAGACATTGTGGGTGGGTGGCTGTCTGCGAGCTCAACAGCTGTCCCCGCTGCCACGCCGGGCCAGCGCCCGGCCTCCCCGGAGAGCGCCCTGCGTCCCTCTGCCAGAGAAAATTCAGAGCACCCTGTGAGAGCACTGCTGCTGCTCACACCCATGCCCCTTGGTGGAGTTTTGAGGGATGTGGCTGCCCCAGTCACAGGGAGAGCCTGGTCAGCCTGGGCACAGGGTTCAGCTCTGAGTAACTCCATCGACTGCTGTGTCCACCTTCCCAAAAATAACTGCAGACACCGACTATTTGGTGGATATATTTGTGTTAAAAAATAGTAGGCAGTAAACTGCAGCTTTGCAATTTTGCTTGTTTTTTTCCCCAACCCTGAAGTTTGGTCAAATCCACGCATTTTGGTGAGCTTGCATGTTTGCTGCCTTTCGGTAAATCCCGTGTGTGGACCCTAGTTGCTCTAAAGTCATGTGTGTTCGTGACTGCAGCTTTTGTAAAGGTTAAAATTAATCCTTCCATAAACCTTCTTACCTTATGCCATTGAATAAGAGAAGCAGCCCTTAGTTTTTGTTACCCAAAGAAGTTGAAAAGCCTTCATTTTCAAGTCTACTTGATCTGCCATGAATGGAGGGATGACCTCGGCCACATTTGTAGAAGCCCCTGGCTTGCGGAGTGAGGGGTCTTCTACAGGCCAGCATCTCAGAAACATGAACCTCCAGAACTGCATCTTCTCACTGAAATTCAGAAACTGCTGCAGCAGCTGTAGAGGCTGCCAAAGGCTTGGATGGCAGTGAACCCCAAGGATAATGGCAGTCAGAGAGAGCAAAGTGCATGACCTCACCTAAAACCGCCTGAAATCACTCTGCATCTTTTTATTGACTTCAGTGATCTTTGCCTCCCTCCCTGAATGAGTAACAAGGATCCCCACAGATTAGGCAAGTGAGAGGCAAGAACAGACAGGAGTAACAGCTTTGAAAGTGCTTACTTATATTTAGATAATTTTAACTTTCTACAAAAGTCTGACAACCTCCATGAGTTGTCACAGGTTGGCTCCTGGAGTGTTTTCCAGTTTAACAGCAGAATCCCTACCAGCCATTTTAATTGATCCTGTGAGCACAAATGACTTTTCACTGTGAAGTGGGGGTTTTTCAGGCTGTATTTTGCACTGACACTTGAATAACATCAAGCAAATTGCTGACTCTTTTTAAGTTGTAAAGTGTCACTTAGAAAGCCTTTAAAGCAGGACTATACACTTTGTTCGTTCTGATTAAAACACTGGAGTTTTTAAAGCTGCACAATAAGCAGGAAAGCACCAACTGTGCAAGCAAAACCTTCTTTTTCCTTCCCAGGGTAACTGGTGAGCTCTACTGGATTTTCCATCCTGGTGATTTGCTCTGGCCATAGAGGCAGGGCTGTAGCCCTTGGGGGAAGAGGGGCTGGCAGAGATGGGCACACAGAGAACTGACTCTTCAGGACTATTTGGGGAGTACACAAAACATGGATGTGGGGACTGATTTTAAAAACAGTGTGCTCCTTGCAACTGTGAATACTGAAGCTCCAGTTCAGAACACAGGGATCACAAAGATGCAAATGAAGGCTAAGCAGCCTCAATGCAGGACTGGGAAACATAGCTCTAAATCCTTCTGCAACACCTAACCAAAAAAAGAGAAGAAGACTTCTTACAGGCTTGATGTCGTACTGAAGAGGATTTTTCTAGGCTTGGAGGAGCAGGGGAAGATGGAAAAATTAACAGGATTTTAAAAAATCCTTCTCTGACTTCTTTTTATTTTTTCACATCAGAATATTAATTTCTTCTTTCCTCTCTCTTCATATGGCAAAGAAGCTGTGCTGCCCCCCAAGAGAGGCAGGCACAGGTTATGTATTGGGGCCAGTTGGGCAAGTCTTTCTCATTGTCTGGGTGAGGTCCTTTCTCAGCCATGAGCCTGCTCTGCCTTACCTAGAAATGTCTTCTAAAAGCAAATTGAAAGAGAGAAAGGAAAACTGAGTTACTTGAAGGATTTCTGTCCTGCTTGCTCCCTCTGACCTAACCGAGAGAAGAAGGAGGCAGAATAGGAAACAAGCTCAGAGGAGTCTGAGCAGATGCTTTGGTGCTGCCTCAAAGCCCTCAAAGTGCACCAAAGATATCTCAGAGCCCAGAGCCAGTGGTAGCACAGACACCACAGGTCTCAGCGAGCCTGACACCCTGCACTGCTTTGTGATGCTGGAGTTGCTCCACTTAGATAAGAGTGAACAACAAGCACCAGTGCCCATGCTTCTCAGCAGGCCTCCAGGGCTTGGCAAAGGGGGCACAGGTCCATTTTGGGGACCTCTTTGTTCCTGGAAGAAAAAAACTTACAAGCCAAAGGAGAGAGGTAGATCTGTAGTTTCCAATGAGGCCTATGGGCCAATGCCAGAAGAAAACCAAATGATAAATTACATATTATATGAAATTATCAAATCTTAAACTGTGTGTTAAGAAGTATCCAGAAACAGTTATTTTCATTACTCACAGAGGACCATCTATCTAGCAACTGATAGAGTTTGGAAGTTGTTTCATCAGTGCTTGCCAGACACCCACTTCTCTTATCAGACCTTTGCTCCCAGGGAGCACCGGGCTGGGAGAGCCCTCCTATGTTCACAACTTCTTCTTGGATCACAATGACTTCTTTATATTTACAAAGTCTTTATTAGCCCCCAGAGGCATCAGATAAAGACAAAAGACCATAAAAACGCCCTTAGGAGGTCAGACTAAAGGTCCCTCTAGCCTAATATCCCATCTCTAAAGCTAAAAATGGGGAAGAGTACAGGATTAGGGCAAGCCTATAGTAAAACTACCATGATATACTCTGTCAACTTCCAGTGATTTGGAGGTCAGGGACTTCCTGACCCAGAAATGGTATGTTTGTGTTTGAAGGCAGAGAAGGGTTTGAATCTCTATTCCAAGCATTTGAATGCTACAAGAAAAAAATACTTAAGTCATCTGGTGAGAGAAATAGAAGTTCAGTATAAATACAAAGCTGTGTAAGCAGACCAAAAGTACATTTCAAAGCCCATGACATTATCTTCAAGAACACACTCAGCTTTCTGAGGCCAATAAGCATATTTTAGCCTGAGAGGCTCTGACTGCTCCATATTCTTGAAGCAGCACTCACCCAGTCCTCCTCTTTCTTTCAGCTGATCCTCCAGGGAGGATGAGGAGCTCTTAGCAGGCAGGGTTGAGGCATTTGAAGCCTTCCTCATCAATAATTCAGTCAAATGTTTGGGGTTCTTTTGAGACTAAATAGCAGGTTAAATAGATGTTTCCTTCAGGCATCAGACCAAAACAATATCTCATACTGGAATGTGGTGGGCAAGAGAATTATTTACTGGCCAGAGCACAGCTAGCCCAGCTACAGTTAGTGCAAGGAAGTAGTTCAGATGCTGAAGTCAAGGGGTTATCACACAGGCCCAGACTCAGGCCAGACCACTGAGCAATGCCTACACACTTGGCAAGCGTGCGCCAACAGCAGCTCGGGACCACACATAGCTCCAGTAGAATGCCACCACACCACGACCAGCAGTGTTGGGACCCAGGTCACGAGGACAGCCACCACAATGGGTCTCAGCAGCAGCAACAACAAAAACAAGCACAGGTCCCTCTGCCACATGAAAGGCTGCACAAATATTCGTTCCTTTGCAACCTTTCTGCAGGGCCCCAGTGCTCATATGAAAGAACAACAGCAC